TTCATCAAGCTTTTCAAATAACATTTAACAAGTTTTCAGCTCACATTTTTAATCATCCTACACACTCCCTTTTTTAATCCACAATTCATTCATTTAGGAAATATTTTAAGAAAAAATATTCGTCATTATTTAGCAATTATAGAATTTGATAATCCTTCTAGTAGTTTATTATATGAATAGGTAACATATTGTGGGTTGAAATTTAATGAAAATTTGAATGAAATTAACTTAGATGATTATTGAAAAGATTTGTTAATTCATTTACCAATTTTTTCTAATATTGCATTAGACTATATTTGGTTACCAATTTCAAGCTATGCAGTGGAATAGAGTTTTTCTTTATATAATTTACTTTTAGATTCTAATCGTCAAAATTTATCTGAAAATTTATTAAAATAACTTAATATGTTGTATTTTAATTGATTGATTTTTTACATTAATTACAAATTAATAAATAATAAATTTATTGGACTTTAATCATATTTAATATAATAATATATATAATATATATCATTTAATCAATAATAATAAATTTATATATCTATAATAAAATTAGTCTAAAAAACAAGTATAAATAGAAAATACATATTATTTTAACATCTTTTCTTAATACATTTAATTGATTTGTATAATATATTGATGTATTATAATTAAAGTTAATTAAAAATATTGCAAATAATATTTTTATAATAAAATTTATAATATTTTTTAAAAAAATTTATATTAATTAATAACTTTTGCATTAATTTAAGATCAAAGTTTTGAATATTTTTAATAAAAGTATTTTTTTTATAAAAGCTATTTTTATTTTTTTTATTTACAAAATATATAAATTTATAACTAAAATAATATTTATATATTTAAATATAAATTAAAAGTTGAAAATTTTGTATATATTTAATATTATAATTATTAAAAATAAAATTTCATTTAAAAATAATAGATTTATTATAAATTTTATAATGTATTTTAATGAAAATCATGATTAAAATTTAAAGAGAAAATTAATATATTTTTATAATTTATAAGCAGTAACATTAATTTAAAATATTTTTATAAGTACAAAATGTAATAATATTATATAATCATAAGCGTATTATATAAAAAAGTAAAATAATAATAAGCGCAATTACGTTACGCTTATTATATTACCGCAATTTATATTATTACTTGTAAGAGTCAGAAAATAATTGCAATATAAATTTACATTTTATATTTTAAATATTAACACATAATGATCGAATGCTATATTTTATATAATATTTAGTAAATAAAATAGTAATTATTATTTCATGATAAAATTAAAATATATTTTCATTTGTATCAATTTGAATGTATAAATTAAGTAGTTTTGAGATAATTTCAAAAACAAATACTAAGTTTTATTTTTTTTTCTTAACAAAAGATGTGTGAATATTTTTTAAAATTTACGTTTTACAAACCTATTGAAGTTGCAGAAATTGAAAACATTAATTTGATTTCTTGCCCTTTAAGAAAGAATAATAAATTAAATTAATGCTAAAAAATGTAAATATATAATTATCTTATACCAAGGTAAGTTTTTTTTCACATTATCAAACTATCTTCCAATTGTTGAATCTGATTGAAAAATGAAGAGTTTGTTCAAGATTTTAAAATTATAGTGACACTCAAAAATATTGTATCATCGAAACACAAATTTTAAAATGGTAATATTTTGTAATTAAAAAGGCACAGTGTTATACAACTTTAATTAATGAATTCATCATACCTCATAATTTATCAATATTTTTATCTTTTTTTTAAAGGATAAAAATATATATTTTTTGTTATAAAGCTTTGCAAAAATAGCAATGCAATTATTTTAATTAATTTAAGAAATAAACATTATCAATTTTTCACAATTTTTTTTGTACTTCAAAACAATCATGTAGAATATATAAAAAGATACATTATGGCATTTTCTGCTCTTTGTAATTTTATAAAAAATCTATAGTTTATTTATCTGTTGAAAAAAGAGCTAGGATTTGTATCTTATTTGAAGAAGATTATTTCTCCTACTATATAGCAAACAACCAAGGAAAATATTTTCCAATCAATTGTAATAAGAACCAAGCAATATAAAGATAAAACTAATAACTTTAAAGACCAGCCTAAATCTGAATATCTGCAATTCTTAACTGACTGATATGAACGAAAAGTTCTAAGACTAATTACAACTGGTGAATGTACTAATACTGTTGCAATCCAAAAAAACTAAAAACAGAAGAATAAATTAAAGTTAGTAAATGTATAATCAAGAGAACTTTACATAGAAATGGAATGAGTGCAAGAGTTAAGCGTAAAAAGCTATACCTTTGAAAAAAGCATAGAATTGCATATATGAAATTTGCTGAAAAATACAAATCATGGACAGCAGAGGATTGAAACAAAGTTATCTGGTTAGATAAGTCAAAATTCATGATTTATGGGTCAGATGGTAGAGAATATTATCAGAAAAAATCAAATGAACCATTATGCAATCATTATTTTAAACCAATAGTCAAATTTGGGTGGGTAATATTATGGTGTGGGAATGTTTTACATCTGGTGGGGTTAGTAACATATGCTGAATTTATGAATTTATGGACATATGAATGGTGATTTATATTGTCAAATTTTAAAGGAAGACCTTTTAGGAACCATTGAGTGGCATGGAATGGATAAAGATAATATTATCTTTCAACAAGATAATGATTCTAAACACACTGCAAATCTTACTAAGCAATGGTTTGATGACAATAGGGTTAAAGTTCTTGATTGGCCAGTGCAGTCCCCTGATTTAAACCCAATAGAACACCTTTGGAATGAAATGGACCGTCGTCTGAGATGGCTTGAAATACCTGTTAATCAGTTGTGGGATGCAATTCAAAAAATTTGGGTTGAATTAGGATCCGATGTATGCAAAAAGTTGGTTGATACTATGCCAACTTGTATAAATGATATAATTTAAGCTAATGGTGGTTATATGAAATGGTAGATAATTATTTACCAAAGTATTAATGCAATTGGGTTAATTTTTATTTTTTTTATTTACATAAAAATTTTAATAAAAAATAGATCAAAAGAAAAGGATCGTGTAAATGATCAAAATCAAGTATTTAAAATTTTTTTATCACATTATTACGCTGATTTTTATACCATTGAATAGACTCGTTATGATGAGTTTAATAAATAATTTTGGTAACGCTACGCCTTCTTAATCACAAGATAATGCTATTTTAAAATTAGTATTCGGATGATGCAATACTTTTGAGCGCTTACTGCGCCACCAAAAAATTGGTCGATTAATTACGATTTGGTAGGATCTTTACGGTATATGGAGTTACCGAATATTATTTAACGGACTTCCATATTTGGGTGTTTTTTTAAAAATATTAATTTTTTGATTTAAAATACCGTACCGAAATGAAACTTGTTTTATTACAAATATTTACGATCTTTTTTAAAAAATGGAACTAGCACAAGAAAAAACAATATTGAACACACCAACAAGAAGAGGTTCCTCTAAAGCGGATCAAGGAATGAATAATATGCTAATTGGTTCGGTGAGTTATTAATATGTTTCCATATTTTTTTTCTTTATTCAGCTGACTACAAAGATATCTGATATTTATATGGTATCGGTATGCTTACGTAGGAAAATTTAATATCTTTTCATTTGAACATTATCACTTTTATTATGGAAAAAAATAAGAGTGTTCTTACAATGTTTCTTCCTTTACGTCACCTTAGATTGCCGGTATGGCTGGTAAATTAATAGAATATCCATTTGATACGATTAAAACGCGGTTACAATCTCAATCATCAGATCATAAACAATTCAAAGGACCATTAGATTGTTTTCGTCAAACGTTAGCACATGAAGGATATGGGGGATTGTACCGAGTAAATACAGATATTTCTCTGTTTTTTTTTTCATTCACTCATTCACTCCTTAACCCTCTCATACTCTCCACAACTAATAGGGATTGTCATCACCATTGGTGGGAGCAATGTTAGAAAATGCCTGTTTATTCTTAGCATATAATCATATACAAACAATGATAAGAGAATATACGACACCTAATTATAATAAATCACAACCACCATCTCTTACCATGTCACATTTCTGTATATCTGGAGCATTATCAGGCTCATTGGCTAGTTTTTTATTAACACCTGTTGAATTAATCAAGTGTAAATTACAAGTTCAAGAGACCTTCTTATATGGAAATGATAATAACGTAGCTAGTGTCAAGATGAATAAAGGACCACATTATAACGGACCATGGAGCGTTATAAAATATACGTTAAAACATCACGGTATTAGTGGACTTTATCGTGGGCATTCCGGTACATTTATAAGAGAGTCTGTAGGAGGTGCGGCATGGTTCGGTACATATGAATTCGTTAGTTCAATTGTGTCACATCGAATCAGTCTCAAGGAGAAGAATGTAACAAAGAATGATTTATCAATGATGGAATTGATAAGCGTTGGATTTCTTGGAGGAGCAAGCGCAGGAATGGCGTATAATTTATTAATATATCCGGTAGATTCAATAAAGAGTCAGATGCAAACAGATGAAGAAGTTATGAGAGCAACCGGTAAAGAAGTAGTCAAGAGAGGATTTTGTCAAGTCGGTAGAGAATTATATAAAAATGATGGAATTAAAGGATTTTATAGGGGTTGTGGTATTACCATTGCTAGGGCTGTTCCTAGTAATGCCATCATATTTACGACTTATGTGAGTATCAATCGAGGGAAAGATGGGACCAAAATCAAGGGAGATATTGACTAATTTATTTTTATCACCTTTTTTTTTTTTTACTTTTCATAGGAAATTTTGAAAAGGCATTTCTCCGGCACATTTAACTTTTTTTCATCTTAAATTTAAGGATTGTAATAGAAGAAAAGGCCAATTTCACATAGAATAATCACGCATCACAACTAATTAATCTTTAGTAATTTAATAATAATATTTTAATTATTTCTCTTACACTCACACGGTAGCACTACTTAACCAAACCTTAATACAATAAGAACCGTTCATGTTTTTACCTTCAACCTTAGCATAATCAATCATACTCTTACCGACCGTGTTAAACCTTAATCTACCAATAGATTTAGTAACTACAGCACTTCTAGCTGCACCTTTCCTTAAACTCATTCTGCCACTAATTTGTAATTTAATGCCCGCTAAATGTGTAGGTATAAAATTATTCCCATTACGTAACATCTTTGACCAATTCAAATAATGTGTTGAGATACCATCTATAATAGGTTTATCAAGAGAAATGGCGGGAGGGGAAGGAGGGGGTGGGGAGAGGAAATGATATGATGTAGGTATTAATCCATTCCTACTTTTCATACCATCGACTAATCCACTTCCACTATTTGTTAATGAAACTAACGGAACTTTCTTAAATAAATTTCGACGGATTTGTCTAATACGATACTTTTTTGTTTGCATCGATAAATATTGTGCCAAAATTTTGCTACTTAAAAAAGGATATTTAAATAATATGATATTAAATTCTACTGGTTTTTTATATAACGTAGAATACAATTCGGATAATTTCTTTATTGCCAATTGTGATAACTGGTTATTAGGTTCTTCCGTATGAGTGATGGTTCCCGGAAGAGAAGGTTTGTAAGCGTATTGTTGTATAACTACTTTACTTGGTGAATGTTTGATTCGAAGTTCATTTAATGGTATTTGCCAATAATGTTGTAAAGATGTTTTAACGTTTTCATCACAATTGGTATATCGATTCTTTTTCGGATTAAACAAATATTGTGTATTTTGCCATTCTAGTTTGGTTTTCAATCGTAAGTTACGTGCGTTCATCTTTTTAATTAAACCGAAGGAAAAAAATTTTTTTTTAAAATGGTGAAAAAAAAATTAAAAAAAATTTTATTCGATGATTCACGTGATACTCATAGAAATGCACTTTGGCTGATCATACTTATACCTAACCTAACATATTTATCAATGCAGATTATAAGTAACGTGAAGTTCATTTTGTCACACAATTCTTAAAGAATGCCCAATCTTGAAATATTGTGAAATATCATCTTTTTTTTTAACCTTTTTTTTTCTTTTTTTTTTTTTTTAAAAAAAAAAAAACTACTTACAGAGTTTCCTCTGTTAATATTCCTTCTTTTCAAAAAAACCCTTGTTACGTCAAAAGTTAGCTATGAATAAAAGGTAAATTGTAAAATTCGTTTTTAAAGTCCAATTTTATGAATCTAGATATATTATGTTCTTAGAGAATAACACACTCTGTGCGCTTTTATTTTAAAAAGCAAGGTAATTTCCTTTTTTTGGCTTTATTTTGTCATAAAAGAAGATTACAAATCATTAATATTTAAATATTCTCAAAACAAAAAAAAAATGAAGTAATTTTCTAGCATTGGTTTTCCTGAAAAAGTGACCAACTTCAAAAGGAAGATATTCCTTTAAACTTTTTTTTTTTTTAAATAATAAGTGAAATAAACGACAAGGAAAAAAAAAAAGGAAAGAAAATACAAAAAAAAAAATCTCGAGGAAAAAATTTACAGAGATTTTAAAGTTTGTTCTAATGGAGATCGACAAGTTACGTCCATTTTAAGAAATTCAACGCGTCACAACATTTGTTAAATTCGTTTTGACTATTAGGAGCAAGTAGCAACCTGAATATGATGATCATTTACTTAATATATCACATCGCATGATACAGCGCATGTACTGTATTTTAATCGCGTAAACAAGTAATCAAGTACACGGAAAAATCGTTAATACGTCTTGTAATATACATCATATACCTTTATTTAATAAGCATTTTCTTTTTTTTTTGACTGATCGAAGGATGAATAGTTATATGGAAAGTCGACCGGTAGTGAACCCGAAAGCTATTGAATACAGTTCAATTAGAATGAGCACGAGAAAAAGGATAAAACTTAATAAACAAAAAGAGGCTGAAGAAGTTGAATTGCTTAGTAATACTTATCCTATTGAATCAGTATCATCTACAGATTCAAATAGTGATTATCATTCAGATAAAGCTTCTTCCACAAATGATACGACTCTTTTACAGTCACAACGACAACAAATTCCTGCGCTTCAGGAGCAACAACAAATACATACACAAAAAAATTCGAAAATAGCTCAACAAAGTTCTCCCCGGCGAACACGTAGTTCTTTAAGGAAAAGGCAAATACCTGAAATAATCGAACAAAGGATAAGAAAAGCTGGTGGACGTGTACCATTTTCAATATCAGATGAACATGAATTATATGAATTCTTACTTAATCAATCGAAATATTTACGTGGTAACAAAATTTATGAACAATTTGCCAAACAAAATCCTCGTCATACTGCCCAATCTTGGCGGGATCATGCTTTAGAAAAGTATGTTGATAAACCTCATTTTGTTAAAGAATGGGAAAAAAGATGGTTTCCTAATAAAAAAAAATTGGTTGAAAATGATTCCACCTCTATCATTACAAATGATGAAGTTCAAGTTGTTATAATTAACCGGGAAAGAGAAAATTACAATAAAGATTCATCTAATGATATCCTCGATTTGGAAGTTGATGATGCTGCAGCTGAAGCTTTGATATTGAGACCTTGCATTCTTCAAGAAAATGAATCAACGTCATCTATAGATTCAAATATTGATTATGTTTCAGAAGCTTTTTCCACAAATGATACGACTCATTTAAAGTCACAACGACAACAAATTCCTGCGCTTCAGGTTCAACAAATACATACACAAATACCTCAACAACCACCACTAAGGCAAAGGCAAACACCTGAAATAATCGAACAAAGGAAAGCTGGTGGACGTGTACCATTTTCAATATCAGATGAACATGAATTATATGAATTTTTACTTAATCAATCGAAATATTTACGTGGTAACAAAATTTATGAACAATTTGCCAAACAAAATCCTCGTCATACTGCCCAATCTTGGCGGGATCATGCTTTAAAAAAGTATGTTGATAGACCTCGTTTTGTAAAAGAATGGGAGAAAAGATGGTTACCTAATAAAAAAAAATTGGTTGAAAATGATTCCACCACTATCATTACAAATGATGAAGTTCAAGTTGTTATAATTAACAATGAAAGAAAAAATTATAATAAAGATTCATCTGATGATAGCCTCGATTTGGAAGTTGATGATGCCGCTGCAGCCCGGATATTGGGTCAACCTATGGTACAAGAAATTAATAAGGAAGAAGACAACAAAGATAATGAAAAGGAACTATTTGATATCAATTATGATTTGGATTCTGATGATGCTGCCACAGAAGCTTTAATATCGGTCCAGTCTGGTCCAAAGACCGCGAACCGGTTTTAAATTCATATCATGTCTTATATAAACTTAATAATAAAAATATGAATCTTTGATGCAACTCAAATATTATATTTATTTTTTTTAATATTTTAATAAAAGCTTATTATATTTATAAGACATTTAATATATTACAATTCTTATATAGATAAGATAATTTAAACGAGATTTCTCTGAAACTTTCAAATAATTTTTTAATAAGAAAATATTTGTTAACATTATTAAACAAAGTATTTTAATTGTGTGATAATTAAAGTTTTTATAAAATAATACATAAACAAGCTAATAAGTCTTTAAACTTCTAGCTTAAAAGAGATTAATTACAAAGAATACCTATAGCTTATAATATAGAAGTTCTTTTAATAATTAACTAAAATCTCAATTCCTTGAATTTAATACAATTAAACCTTAAAATAAGATAATTAATAATGCTATCTAAAACTCTTTGTAAATAAACTAATTCTAAATTACAAGTATAATTTCAAAACTTTACTAAAACTTCAAAACTTTATTAAAATCTCTAAACTATTATAAAATTTTAAAACTTTACTGAAATTACAAAACCTTCTAAAATTTTCAAAACTTTTATAAAATATTAAAATTTTACCAAATTTAAAACCTTTAAAATTTATTTAAAATTCTGAATCAAACAAATTTTTAAATTAATATCAAATTAAATCAAACCTATTGTTAAAATTTAAATTAGCCAATCAAATTGAATTAATGATAAATTTATCTTATCTATATAAAAAATAAAAATTAAAAAAAGTTAATTTTCTATAATTTCTATTTCTTTTGTAACATTTTCAATTAAAGTAATAACGCTAATATATCAAATATTACTTTTGCTTAAATCAAGTTTAGCTATATTATATACAACTTATCTTTACTAATATTATATTGAATTTGATATTATCTTAAAAGCAATACTATATTTAGAATAAATAAAATATTTTTTTTTAAACTAAATCAATTTCAAAAATAAACTTTATTGCAAAATCTAATAAATCTTTTTTTAATATCCTACTATTTCATAATTTTTTATAAAAAATATTGTTAACATGTAATTCTTACAAATTATAACTATTATACAAAGTATTTCAAAGTTGGGAATGGATCAAATTCATTAAACTTTAATAGTTAAATGATTTAATAGATTAGATCTATTAATATAATCTATTAGAATCTATTGCTCTATAAGAAATCGAAATAAGGAAATGATACGTTTTTTATAAGGTTTGTATACGTAATTAATGATTCTATATCAAAAT